CCCCCTCCCCCCGCAAAAATCCCTCATCCCTCACAAAAACTTCCCACTCGAAAACCGACTCCCAAAATCCGCCGCCTTACTCATCATCTCCCGCCTCTGCGCATGGGAAATCTTCCCCGCGAGCCCCATATCCTTCTCGCGATCAAACGCCCGCTTGCTCGGATCATCCTCCTCCTCCTTGTGGGCCTTCTTATGCTTCTCGCGCGCCGCCGCGTCCTCCCTCCGCTTCTCCTCATTATACCGCTGAATCTTCTCTTGCATTGCCTTGGACGGCTGAGTCTGCTTGGCCCCTGCGCCGCCACCACCACCACCACCAGCCCCCGAATCATGATTCCGCGGCGCCTGCACGCCCAGCACCTCGTCCTGAAGCCGCTTCATTTTCTGATCCGGGGTCTCCGTCCACGTTACATCGACGCCACCGCCAGAGGCGCTGGCGTTGCCGGCGCGGGGCCCGGACTGGAAGCGTCGGTTTTTTAGGCGGGTAGGGTCGACGCGTGCGGTGCGGTCGGAGGGTTCGAGGGGTTCGAGCATCCAGGCGTCGCGCGTGGGTTTTGTTGGTTTTGTGGTGGCGGTGGAGGTGGAGGTGGAGGTGGATGGTGGGGGTTGGGTGGGTTGTGCGCTGCCGGCTGGTGGGGGGAGGGTTGGGCCGAAGTCGTCGTCGTCGTCCGAGCTGTCGCTGTCGCTGTTGTTGTTGGTGGCAGTAGCGCTGGGTTTGTGGGTGTTGTTGTCGTCGTCGCTGGCGCTGGTTTGCGCCGGTGGAGGAAGGGAGGGGCCGATGACTCGGCGGCGTTTGCTGGATGCGTCTTCCGGCTCGACGGGCGCGGGGCTGGGGCCGACGGTAGGGCCAACGGTAGGACCGGCGTATTTGCGCTTCTCTGGTTGTTGGTCCATTGTTGTTCGAATTTCGGATGAGTTTGTTTCGAGGTGAGGTGAGGCTGTGGTGCCAAAGACAGCGTAAAGAATGTGTCACTTGGGAATTGCAAGTCCTGCTTGCGCGGTGAGCCTGGGGGCTTCGATAAAGATGCTATGTGAGGTAGTAAGGTAAGATTGTAGGTACTCAAGATTGGGCGCTGTAGGAAAGGTTGAAGTTGAAGTTGAATGCGACGAGGCGTCCCGTGCAAACCAGGCAAAACGTCAGAGTTGGATCATGTGATCTGATACCGCACACTAATCTCGGTCTCGTCTTATCGATAACCATTTCCCTGCCCACTTAATCGCCCTCGATAAGATGCGACAATAGTTAGAGTACTCATTATCTTCATCGTGGAAAGTCAGTCATTCCAGTCTTACAATCCCGACGTTCTAACCTACATAAGCACAAAATTTACAACCCCACATGATCTGAGGAACAAAATTCCAGTCATAAAATTAATCTAACCCGCTTTTTGCCCCGAATTTTGAATACTCAAACAGCCCAAGAACCCGAAAAGCCCCACACGGATATATGTACATAACAAAAGGTAGACACAAACATACAAACAAACCAACAACAACAGCATAGGCGATTACGTGATCGGACTATTTATTGCTTGTGGGCCCGCTGCGCCAACAGGTTCAACGCACTACCAGCCAGGATGAACCCGCACTGGTCGGGGCTGAGAGTGTGGCGGACGGGGATGACGAGCTGCTCACCCGAGCGCTTGGTGACGTGCAGCTGGATGGAGCCCTGGCCACCGGCCTGAAGGACATCGTACAGGCCCTCGGTGGCGACCTGATCGCAGGCATCGATCTTGTCGTAGTCGGCCGGGTTCTCGAAGGTCAAGGGGACGACACCCTGCTTCTTGAGGTTGGTCTCGTGGATACGGGCGAAGCTCTTGGAGACGATGATGCGGCCGCCCAGGTAGCGGGGCTGCAGGGCGGCGTGCTCGCGGGCACTGCCCTCACCGTAGTTCTCCTCGGCGACGACCAGCCACTCGGTGCCCTGGGACTTCCAGTGGGCAGCCAGATCGGGGATCGAGTACTGCTTGCCGGCCTCGTCGTAGGCCACGTTGGTCTCGCCGGTGGCGGCGTTGACGGCGCCAATCAGCGTGTTGGCCGAGATGTTGGGCAGGTGACCCTTGTACTTCAACCACGGGCCGGCCGCGGAGATGGTATCGGTGGTGCACTGGCCCTTGACCTTGTAGAGGACCTTCAGACCAGAGAGCTCGCCCTTGGGGAAGGGAGCGAAGGGCTCCAGCAGCGCCAGACGGTCGGAGGTCGGGGAGACGATCACCTCACAAGAAGCGTCAGGAACAGCAGCGGTGGGCTGGAAGTCAGGGTTGCCGTCGGCAAATCCCTGGCCGGGGAGGGCCTGGCCCGTAGGAGGCTGGAAGCGGAACTCCTCGCCACTGGGGGTCTTGATGCTGTCCGTCATGGGGTTGAAGGTCGTGCTGCCGGAGTAGACCATAGCAGTGACCAGCTCGGGGGAAGCCAAGAAGTTCATGGTCCGGCGGTTACCGTCATTACGGCCGGGGAAGTTGCGGTTGTACGAGGTCAGGATGGCATTGTCCTCGCCCTTGGGGACGCCGTCCGTGCGCTTCCACTGACCAATGCAAGGTCCGCATGCGTTAGCCAGCACGGTACCTCCCGCCTGCGAGAAGGTCGACAGCGTCTGGTCACGATCCAGAGTAGCCCGAATCTGCTCGCTACCAGGCGTGATGAAGAAGTCGGCTTTGGGCTTGAGGCCGGCCGCGGTGGCCTGTTTGACCAAATGCTCAGCACGGGTCATATCCTCGTAGGAGCTGTTGGTGCAGCTGCCAATCAGACCGGCTCCCAAGGTCTGGGGCCAGCTCTTCTCACGGACGGTATCCGCGAAAGCAGACACGGGAACCGAGAGGTCCGGAGTGAAGGGACCGTTGATGTGAGGCTCCAGGGTGGACAAATCGATGGTGATCAACTGGTCGTACTGGGAACCGTTGTCAGCCCGCAGGAGGTTCTGGGGTCCAGAGGCGGCAATCTCAGCGGCAGCCTTGGCCACATCGCCACGGTGAGTAGCCTGAAGGTAAGGAATGTGGTTGGGAGAGAAGGGGAAGACGGAGGTGGTCGCGCCAACCTCAGCACCCATGTTACAGATGGTAGCCATGCCCGTGCAGCTCAGAGTCTCCACACCGGGGCCGTGGTACTCGATGATGAATCCGGTTCCACCACGAACCGTCAGCTTGCCAGCTAAGTGAAGGATGACGTCCTTGGGAGAGGCCCAGCCGTTCAGCTTGCCCTCCAGACGCACACCCAAAATGCGAGGCGCCTTCAACTCCCATGGCGCATCGACGAGAGCGTCAACGGCATCCGCACCACCAACGCCAATGGCAATGGCACCAAGACCACCAGCATTGGGGGTGTGACTGTCCGTGCCCAGCATCATCAGACCAGGAGCCGAGTAGTTCTCGAGCACGCTCTGGTGAATGATACCAGCACCGGGAGGCCAGAACTCGATACCATATCGCTTAGCAGCGCTCTCCAGGAAGTCGAACACCTCGCTGTTTCCCTGGATCGAGGCCGGCAGATCGACGTCGGCACCGCGCTCACCCACAATCATGTGGTCGCAGTGGATACTGGCAGGGACCGCAGTCGAGGGCAAGCCGCAGGACATGAACTGCAGCAGAGCCATCTGCGCAGAGGCGTCCTGCATCGCCACACGGTCAGGCTTCAACTTCAAATTGGCCTTGCCGCGGATGTCCCGTCCATTGTTGGTGCCGGTCAACAGCGACTCCTCAGGGTTGTCCAAGTGGGCGTAGAGGATCTTTTCGGCCAACGTGAGAGATCGCGAAGAACCCAAGACTCGACGGACTTGTTCCAGATTCCGCAGAATCTTGGGGTAGGGGGGCATGCGCGAGGACGCAGGGGTCGAAGAGGCCTCGGTGGCCAGACCACGGCGAGCGAATAGTCTTTGCGGGGAGAGGCACTTCGGGGCCAACTGGAAAGTGGAGAGAGTAGTGTGTCAGTTCCAATCTATCTGTCGCTTGAGGATAAAGGAGGATCCAAGAGTGCACCACATACCCTCTGAGAGGCGGAGGCCCGCTGCCAAACAAGCTGCCGCACCATTGTTCTTTGCAGGAGAATACTGTGAAGAACAATTGCACAAAGAAGGAAAAGAAAAAGGTAGATAAATGACTTGAGGCGAAGGAGTCATTCTTATTCTCGACCTTTAGTCGCCCTTTGATTATCCTTGCCCTGATTGGCTCCCGCCACCGCCGATGCCGGGAGATCGACTCCAGACAGATACGATACCGGAGCTGTATTGTCATTTTCCCACTTCGAGTAAGAACGGAGGATCCCGACGCAGGCCAATCTCTGAGTCATCCAGCCCCCTGTGTATCGGGCGGTATCAACGCTATACCCTCCATACAAATTTATACTTCAAGGTTTAACAACATTTGCAAGTGAAGTCGTGGAGACCTGAACAGCCGGGGGTATATACTCTGATAGTATCTAGTAGATCTATACACACTGTGCAATTTTCATTTTTTGGCGACAGGGTTGTACTCAGTCAACCACCCCAATGTCATCCGCCCAACTTGGCTGGATGCTGCGACACACTCCTTCGTAGTCCTGGAATCTCTGCGAATCCTGCACCAGTCCAGGCGTTGTCCAAAACATGGTCCAGTTGGTGTCGTTCAGCTTCCACGTTCCCTGCGAGCGCTCAAAATACCATTTGTTCACCGGGTTGTCCTTACGGCTGCGCCAGCACACGCCATTCGGGAAACAGGACCGCACCATCGCGTTGAACACAATATCCGCCACACCTCCCGCGCCCTGACTGCGTTTCAAAACCGCAAACTTATCCAAATATGGAACCATGCGGGCCTGACTCGCCTCGCTTCCGTCATCCTCGACTCCAGGCGGCAGTTCCCATGTTAAGATAGCACCTCCTTCATATTCTCCAGCAATGATCAGCCCCGCCAAACGGCCATTGACACGGTTCAGGTAGTCCTGCACGTCAAGTTTGCGATTGAATGAGTCCTCAATCAGATGAACCAGGCGCGGAAGGTCGATGCATGGGTCATCCAATCCCAGCTGCGGGCGATTTTGGGCAGTCCACACCTGGACTCGCGGATTCGGGATCAAAGTCAGAGGCATGCCTCGTTTGACAAAGGTTGTATGTAAGCCAGGCGTAGTAACAGAGGCTGGCCGTCCGTGCATAGCTGCGCGGCGACTCAGAGGCAAAGATGAAGAAAGTAGAGGTTTGTCGGTAAGGAGATTATGAATCAGAGGGTTTCGCTGCCGACGGGTACCCACCGCAGAAAGGTCTGGCGCAAGACCATGTGAGGATTGAGCCGAATTCGCGACTTCGAGAGGCGAAGTTATGATTCCAGAAGAGGCCGATGGTAGCAATGCGAGTGCCGCTTGGCTTAGCCGTAAGTTCTCGAGATGGCCATCGATAGCACTCGCTTCCAATGCGGGAAACGACGGGCAGTCGGATTGTCCCGAAGGAGGATTCTTCCCTGCTTCCAATGCGGACTGCCGCACTTGACGCAACTCTTGTAGGATATCGCCAAACTCTTGCTCCATGTTGATGAAGACGTGAGACGACTGAGGGCCACTGAGCGCGGGAATACCCCCAAGAGGATCTAAGAGAATGACACGGTCCAGTGAAACTTCTGCCTGCAGGTCCTTGATCCTCTGCGCCGTGAGCAGAGGATCTTCATCAGGATCAGGTACTGTTGCCAGTCCCGCAAGTTCTTTTGCCAGTGCAAGGATGGCATCGTTGCCAGAGACGGCGACAGCCCGGGGAACTTCCTCGGTGTAGGCGACAGGGGCCGCAACCACAATCTGGCCATCCCGCAACGGGCCAAGCAGCACTTTCCGCGAGGACACTTTTAAAGCCGGTGGCTTCGTCGTTGAGATAGACAATACCGAGTCAATGTGGGCAGATTTCGAATCCGGCTGAGCGTCGACCGCCAACGACAGCCGATCGGCCTGCTCTGCAGCGATCTTCCGCAGCGCATTGAGATCCTCGCCCGTGCCCGGGTCGACCACTACGCAGCATGCCATCCCCAGACGGTTCAGCTGGGACAAGGTTTTCGCCACGCCATTGATTGTGTAATCGTCCAGGAGTTGCGGGGTGGTAATCTTGATCAGGGCCAGATGAAGCCGCTGGGTGATG